TTTTGATACATAATATTAATTTAAATTGCTCCATTTCAAGGGCAAACTTCACATCTTTTTAAGAAATCAATAAGAAAAGAATTTTTAACTTGAAGTTATTTATAAGAACGTGATGTTTCGAAAAAAAAATAGTTTTCTGTAATCTTACCATTGTACTCATACTGCTGTGATGCAGTTTTTTTTCCATACTTATACATATTTAAAAATAATTAAGTCAATACATAAAATAGCTTGATTAAAAACAAATTATCTATATAAGTTACTAATGAATTATTTGTCACAACAAAAGCAATATTTTTTAAAATTAAAAACTATTATTGTATTACATATATATGGCAGATGAGAATTATATGGCACACTTAAATACATCTTAGAGAAATAAAATAGCCAAGTCATGTTGCTTTAACATGTCGCAAGAACACATGGAAATTTTGTTTCGATATGAAAACCTATGAATGTCTTATTACATGTACAAACAACTCCACTATATCATTTCTTGATAGTTATTTAATGTCAAAATATGTCAGATAATTCTTACTCACACCATATGAGAAATAATTTTCCATAAAATATTTAATTTTATACTAATATTATATAATGGTTAATATTTATGGGCATTAATACATTTTCTGAAACAACTCCAGCTTCACACATGAAATATTATATTAAAAACTTTATAAACAGTGGCGGGGTTCAGTTAGATTGCACAAACCAGTTCTTAAAATTTCTCATAATATGTGTAGTTTAAAACCTACAGATTACCATTTGAAAAATTAAAAGGGCCAATAAGTTCAATTAAGAAAAACTTTTTAAGTTGTATAATTTCTTATTTAAAATATCTTTTGTTTTAAAAAAATGGTCAAATTTGATTAACATTTTGTGAATGAGAATGAAAGACTTTTAAATAAAGTAAGAAAAAAAATGTGGCTTTAAAATTTTTACTTTATTTAGCTTTTCAAGCATATATGGCACATTTTTGAGTTTAAATTTTTTAATCCAACCACTGTATATTAATGCTATATTGTACTGCAGCTTTAAAATATTTTTTTATTTGCATGTGTTAAAAAATAAGAGATATCTACATAATTTAAAAATTTTGTTGCAATGAAATTGTCAAATAACGGGAATAACTGAACCTAAATTAAATTCCTTAAATATTACCAGAACAATTTTAATAGAATTAATTAAAAATAACATTGCATTAAAAACAAGATATTCTAATGGGATATTCACAAGAATAAACTTCTTTGAACACTAGGATTGATCATAAATATTTTCAATTATTTATGTTTCAAAGGTTTCAATCCATGTGATCTAAAGTAAGTAGTTGTCCTTGAAAAGTCTTTTATTGGTGTTGTTATGATAACAGATGCTTCTCTAATCAGGACCCTTTTTTAATGCCAAAAATGAAGCCAACAATCATTGTAAAAATGAAATTGTCAACTTATGTGTTAGAAGTCAAAATCAGAAAGTTTTTATAAGGTTAGTTGTAACTGTTTCAATTCCTTTATTAAATATTCAATATTCGTTGTTACCGCGATTATAACATTTCATTTTCAACATAACAAGGGTGATGTTTAGAGAAAGTCCTAGGAAAGAGAAATCCCTATTCATAGATTACCAGTCAAGAAGTTCAAAATCAGGAATTGTTTTTGGCTTTGCAACAAAATAGAAATCGGAGAAGCCTTGATATCACTTTTATTTTTCTTTAACCCTTCTACACATGAAGAGTTCCAACATTCATATAATTCTTGGAAAACACCCAAAAATGCATAAACAAAAAAAAACACCCTTAGAAATGCAAGCACATCAAACATAGGTGCCAACTCTACTGGATTTTCCAGTAGACTGCTGGATTTTGCCAGTTTCTCCTGGTCTACTGGTTTAATTAAAATTAAAATGGCCTGGTTTAATTAAAATTCTCCTGGTTCTTGTACATTTTAGAAAATTCCCTAAAATTGAATAAGTTCCCTAAAAAATCCCTATTGAAAAAGAATTTTTGTACAGATTATTACTTGCTTGATTGAATATTTAAGAGTATTTCTAATACATAAAGAAGTGAACCTCATTTATAGAAATCAGTTTAAAACTTTTTTTGTTCTAAAATGTTCAGTTTATTTTTATTCTGAACTCTCTTTTTAAATTAATTAAAAAATCTTTTTATTATCTTTGATGAACATAATAGATAACATTTCAAGTATGTTTAATGTTAATCGTAACTGGAAAATATTGCAGATTTATATTTTGATGACTATAAAAATCCTCAAAATTCCCTATGTGTAAAATATTTATTACATTATGCGACAGTTATCATGAAATTCATATTATTTCTTAAAATCTACTTGATTTTATTCTATCCATGTTCGCAGCTATGCATCAAAGAAATTAGCCTTTAGTAGATGTGACTGAATGAAAAAGAAAAATCGAACTTGTATCAGGGAAAAATCACTTCAGTTCAGAATTCGTTATTCTTTCCCAGAAATTGTAGTTTTTTTTAATCCAGCTATTTCTATTCTGATAAATAAATTAATTTTTTCGAAAGTTTGAATTACATTTTGTCAAGGATTCTTTATACTTGACACTGAATTTACTTTGTTTACCTAAAAGTTAAAAAAAATTATTAACGCAAACTGTATTAGCATGTACAGTGGTAGAAAACAAGAACAAACATAGAGAACTTAGTAAAGAAGTTCTCTGGATCTCTGTGTTTTTTGGCATATTTTTGAAGGTCCTTCTTACAAGGGAGGATTTTTAATTTTTTGAATAGAAGGTGTAATATGATAAAAGCCAAACAGCCTAAATAGTAATGTAATATTCAAAGGGTATTTTTCCATCGAATCTGTTTTTTACCAACAAAAAGCCCTTTTATAAAAAAAAGGCCCATTTCTTTTTAATTCCCTTTTTTAAAATTATTGAATTTTACTTCGTCAATGAAAATGTGTCCTCAATTTGACAGATATGCAATTGACCGTAATCCAATAATAAAAAGTATTCCACAACAGTCCATTATCGCCCCGGAGGCCGGGTTAGGAGTTTAAAACTCCACAATTTTGGAACCAATGACATGATTGCGGAAATGTAGATAATATAGCTCACAATGCCACCATTACTTCCCAGACCAGACAAGATAGTGCCCATTGATCTGAAGCTGGATGGGCTTCAAGCCACCACTGAGGATCAAACCCCAGTATTTTACCATGACAGCTCAGTGCCTTTAACCATTAAGTCTTCACTGCTGCATCACAATAATATTGAAGCCACTATTTAGCCAGAACTTCTTCCCTTAATAAAACGTAATTTTTCTCTCATCATTATTTACGAAGCATCAATTATGAATTTTTGCTTTAGACCTTTCTCCAGGTCTCAGCTAACATAAATTTTTTATCGCAGGTAATTTATTTCAGTTTTGAAATTTATAAAAATGTTTTTCAGTACGGTATGTTTTTTGTTGTTTTTTTGGTGTCTTACATTTTTATTTTGTATTAAAATAAAAAAATTCTCTTTCACAATTGAAGTTGGAAAAGGTTTCAGGTCACATTTTTGTTAAATTCAGGACATTTTGGGGTACAACATTAATTTATTTTCCCCGTCTTTAAATTGCTTAGCCTTTGAGTGTTTTCTATTTTATAAAAAGGCTTAAGTTCCTTTGACAAAATACAGTCTCTGACTATCTTAAAAAGCAGCACATTAGGATGCCAAGAATGCAAATACTAAGATGCAAACAGTTTAACTGAGTGTTAGAGATTTTAGGTTTTCCCAATTGGAAGTTTTTGACAAAAAATAATGTTGGCATAATTTTTACGAGTATATTTTTCAAAAATATTTGTTAAAAAAATGTCTAAAGTTTCTTTGAACATTTTAATTACTTTAGCTTTTTCAGTCCCAGATAGTTTGAAAAGCTTTCAACTGCGCATTCCTCTCAGTAAAAGTAAAATCGTCAATTCTTTTGTATATATATTTGATTATTTAACTAGCAAACAAGTTTTAAACTTGACGATGCCAGATTGGTTTGCTTAAAAAAGTTTTTTTATAAAGAGCAAAGGAATGAAAAGTAAAGCTTTTAACTCCTTTCTTTATCGTATGTGACAAACTCATTATTAATATTAATAAAGAATAGTTTTAGGAATGATAACGCAATTATTTTTCACCTATTAAAACTTTATAATTTTTCTATTGCTAGATATATTAGTTAGTGTTAAATGAGAGTTACATCTACTCTAAACTAAATTCCATCTCTGCATATTACTCATAATGCTGCACGTAGGAAATTTTTATTGTGCATATAACATAAGATAAACGAGAAACACAGAATTTTAAAACAGTTTTAATTTAGTATGCCTCCATTTTATTAAAAATGATTTTTTAAAAAAATGTCCTACATGCAACGAAAACTACAATATAGGGGATCGCAACGCTCGAATACGCCGTTTGGGGAGAAGATAGGTTCCATGCCTTTCGCCCTTCACCCTTCCCTCTCTTCTTCTTTTCAGTTGTATAGGAATGCACTATGATATTTTTCCTTTTCTTAATATTTATCATTTTTAAATAATAAAAATATTTTTTGAAATTTCCATGATGATTTCTTTTAGAACTATAATTAATTTAGTTTTCTGTTCTATATAGTTTCCCAACTTAAAAGATTTTAATCTGTATAAAGATCAAGAGAGAAACTAACTTACTTCTTCTATGACTCTCCACACGCTAAAGGTGAAAGCATGTGAAGTGTTGCCATAGGTAGAGAGTTCTCTACGCCACCTGTAGCCCATTTCGATCGCCAATTAATAAACATGTTGCAAAAAATGTTCTTTAAATCACATTAAAATTTAAATTACAGATCCCATTGTTAATAGACCTTTTACAGATATTTTTTTCTAATAACTATTATAAGCCTGTAGTGTTTTCCCTTGAAGAGATATTAAATAACTTAATACTCTTTTAGATTCTCATAAAAAAGTGGCGTGATAAAGGATAAAGAAAACGCCATTACTTTGACATCCATAGGAAAGTGATTACAAAACTCCTCAAGAAGGTGACTTGCTAAGTGTTGTTAATAAGGTGGTGTAAGCTCTAAGGCAGAAAAAGAGATATCAAGGCCCACCGTCAAGTAAGAAGAGGGTTAAATTAAACATCTTCCTTATTTGTAAGGCACGTAAATTGTGAAAGGAATTCATAAAAATTAAAATAACATCGGCTTGAGTGGAACATATATCGTATCAAAAGGCATTCAAATTATAGCACAAAAACATAGTTTTGCATAAAATCCAAATAAATGTGCTATTATTTGACCCTCATAGAATAGGAAATGGAGGACCCTGAGGAAATAATCTTCTGTCTTCTCATCACAATATTGTGTTAAATACTTGCATGTTTCTTGTTATATTTTCATCCTGGAACAATAAAAATACAAATACTCTTTTCAATTCATTACAGCTGAAGAGGGTTTTTTATTCCCTACAATTTAAATCAATGCATTTGCTTTTAACTTTTTTCCTTCATTTTTGATAGAATATTTTTAAAAATGTCGTTTCTTTAATATCCTGCTTTAGTAATTTATAAAAACATGAACATTTATATTTAATAATCGTAATACATTACTTTTAGCTGATATTTTTTTGAAATATGAAAGTAATTTTTTTAATAAATTTATTGTGTTAAAAATATTGAATTTAAAATTAACTTTTACTATTATATTGCTAAGTGATTAAGATGATGTGTTTTGAAAATATATATTGAAGACCATTGTATTTAAATGAAGTGTCTGAAGCTACTGAAATGCAAATGCTACCTTTTTATCATATTGAAGTTATTATATAGCATACATTAATCTCTCAATTATTATCAATATTCCCTAAAATTCTGGGCTTAATTCCCAAAATTGCATTGTTTGTTTTTGTCGTCTTTAAAAAACCGTGTTTTTTTTTTTTTTTTTTTTTTTTTTTTTTTTTTTTTTTTTTNTTTTTTTTTTTTTTTTTTTTTTTGCGTCACTAGTTTTAAGTGCAATTTTAGTGCATACATTATATATTACATGCATTATTTATAGCATACATTAATCTCTCAATTATATTTGAAATGGGTCAGTTTTGTCAGCCTTCAAAATTCTCAATATTCCCAAAACTTTGTCTTTCTTTCATTTTTTTTTTAAAGAAAAAAATATTTTTGGTATTTTGCGTCACTAGTTTTAATTGCCATTTTAGTGCGTTTGAGAAAATTATCTTTAAAAGTTTATACATCTATTTTACTTCCCTGAATCTCTGCGTGTGGTGGATATATTTGCTCTTTTTTTCTTTTTTTTTAACATTTATGTGCGGCGGCAGAATAAAAACTAAACACTCTGAACAATTTTTAATATAATCTTTAATATACTAAAAATGTTGCATGTTACGAGACGAGGCCATTCATTAGAAGAAAGAAAATACCCCTTTTCGATTTTCAACCAAAATTTAACAACTAAAAGAGGAATTTTGTTCTTACCTTTTCTTATTTAAATAATAAAAATAATTGTTACGGTGCAAAATCACGGACTTGGGGGTCGAGGTGATTGTACAGATGTAATTTTTAAGCCATCTCTTCGTATTCAGAACACTAAATGATTAAGTGGTGTCGTTTAATGTCAATGTGTAAGACGTTTAATGTCAATTTAACATCACTTTTATGTATTTATAGGGTCCGTGACAACCTTGTAAAAAGAACTTTTAATATCTTTTCCAAAAAGACTCATTAGAAATGCGCTAAATGATTAGGAAAATGGATGAAATCTTATTGCGAATTTATTTGGATTTATTAGTTTGTTTTAAGAAAATGAACAATTTTTATAAGTTTGAAAAACGGAATCAAATGCTATTTTCTTAAATAGCTTTCTTTATTTTCTTTTGTACACATTCTGAACCAGAATAAAAAGTTCTCTCACTATATGTTTATTTAACAGTTATGAAATCCAAAATAAAAAAGTACTTTTTTTTATATAAAGACTTTCCTTTTTGTGAACAAACATTTTTCGCTTTTTAATAAAAATATTAGAAAAAATTAAATTAAGGCCTCTTGGTGGCAATTTGCAAAATCTGTAACATTCGTTTGTACTGTCCGCTCTAGTAAAACGGTCGATAAACTTTATAGGCCCTTTAAATATTTTCCCTGAGAAAATGATTTATCAGGAACCTAGATTTTTGTGTTTATAATAAATTGAAATAAATCGATTTTTTTTAACACTCTTCAAAACGAATTTTTTATTTTTATTTTATCGAGACAACCACTTCTTCTACTAATCTTCTAAAGGATCACGTAATCTGTACAACTAAATATGAGGTTGAAAACATATTTTTGATATTCTAATACCTTAATTTTTACGCTGAAATAGTTGTTACTTACCAAACGTAATTTTGCTTATCTGAAAGCAATACTTCGGCCGTTGTCTATATTACGGAAATCAAATTTCATCAAAAACAAAACTTTTAACTTTGTGGTTTTTCGGCTTCCCCTGACATAAAGAAAAATTAATCCATTCAGAACCGTGATCACACATACGCGATTCTCCCATTATTGCCCACTGTATCATATATGAAATGAGCCTTTCCAACTCCAGCGGCTTTTGGTCATAGGGACATATTCTCAATTTAGTACTTTCGTAGCGTGCGGACTCTTCTTTCGCCTGTCCTGAACGAGTTAATAGAAGAAAAAATATTAAAGCATTTACCTTACTGTTTATTCAGAAGTTCACTTTCAAAAAGATTAGGTCAACGTTGAACCATAATAAAGTTACTTTAATACATAATATGATATAGTTTTGCTACAGCTATGAAAGTGAATAATGTTTCTTTTCAAATTTAAATATTAATCAAAATTAAGATGCACGATAATATGGTTTAACTTAATTCCATATTAAAGTTTGTAGCAAATATGAATTCTACTAAGACTCAACGTTTGGTACAGTTTTATCGCTTATGCTTTTTTTTTTTTTCCTGTTTACAAGGCGATTGTTTTTGTAATTGAATTTTCTCTCTTAGACTGAAGTTTTTAATTACATTTCGTTTTATGGTATATCTTATTATTTAAATCTAGTGGATTTTGTTTCATGACCAAAACGTGAAGAAATACATTATAAAAATATTCTACAATGTACAAAGAAAGTTTTTTTACAGCGAGATAACTTATAGCTTAACTAAGTTAAATTGTTATAACTTGCCTAAGTTAACTCGTTTAAGTTAACTTATTTCGAATTTAGATATTTCTCTGTTTTTAACTATTTTTTTTAGATTAATGAATGAAATTTCATTATTGTTGGGGCTTCCATAGTTGAGTTCTTTGATCTAACTTTTGTGAAACTTGCTGTTTAATTGATACCAATTAAATAAACTAATGTGATTTTTAAAATAATGTAATTAATAATGTTTTTATGTAATAGGCTCTAGAGGAAAAGTGTTTATAAAATTATTTTATTTAGTAACTAACACGATTTTAGATATCACATTTATTTATAACGAAGGTACCCGAAGTGTCACTCGCAAATCAAGCAAAATTTTTTATAATTTTTTTTTTGTCATACATTTTATTTTATAACCGATGTTGAACAGCAGACCCAATTTTTTCTGGGCTTACGACTACTAAGTTTTACTCGGTAGCCTTGTAATTTTGAACCTAATCCGAAAGACAAGGGAACTCTTGGATCAAGTATTGCCTTCGTGAGGATTTTTTGATAAAACTATCCGCATTTGCGTTACATGGGGAGAAAAACCTCCCACGGTTAGTCTGACGGCAAGGGGACTCTAACCCATGATCCATCTACCACTGAGGATATTTTACGTCAGCATTGGTCTGTGCGAGCCATCAACTCGGTTCACCTCATTGGAAGGCGAGTGCTCTATCCCCTTAGCAACCGCGGCTCCTTTTTGTTATATAAAATATTTTGCCTATAGCACTTTGGTTTCGGAGATATAAATTATTAAAAATTTAAAGTTTGGATGAAAAGAATTGCAGAAATTTCCCAAAGTGTGCAATAGCAAATTAGTTGGAAAATTCGCTTTAAATAATAAATATCAAACGTTATCCAACGTTTAAATAATAAATATCAAACGTTAATTCAGCAAAGTAATTGTTATTTTAAAAACTGCTGAATAATGCAAGAACTTTTAACTTTGTAACTCAAAGCAATCAAACTTTATTTATAATTTTTAAATTTACTTTTTTAGTTTTAGCCTTTAAAAAGCAATTAATAAAGCTTCCGATGAAGAAAAGTGGTTTACCACTGATATTGGTGTTCGTCTGAGGTATGAATGGAATTTGGCGACATTTTCAAGGTAAAAGTTGTAGTTCTTAATAATTTAAAACTTAATATATACTTCAAAATAAAAATTTTTTTTTAATTTTCCCCTAAAGGGGATAAAAATAAAAGCAGTGATTTATGAGTGTTACTTCAAGTATCTTCCTTCCTAGTAGACTGACACACCAATTGGCTATAACACCAATAAAATTTCATATATTTTTATAACATAATAATCATATTTTTGAATTTAAAAATAATTAGGCTTACTCTTTGGCAAGAATCCAAAAATTCTTCGATTGTAACAACACCATCTTTATTGAGGTCTAATTTCTAAAAATACATATATCGGTGTTATTTAAAATAAAAAAAAATACATACTTTTTATCATTACATACTACAATTATTTATATCACTTATGTAAATAGTGGTCGTTAGTTCTTTTTACAGTCTCGTAGTTTTTACGCATTTTTTATAAAACTATTTAATAAGCTTTATTTATTTATTATTATTTTTTTGTAAATAATTTCAAAAAATATAGTAAAAAGGATTAGAAAGAACATACAAACTCTCGCTGACTCATATATTTCAGCTTTAAGGATTGCTCCAAAGAAAATATTTTTTTCTAAATAATGCCAAAAATTAAAAATAATAATAAAATGAAATAAAAAACACAAATTTTCTATGACTTAAAATTTTCGGCTTTATGAATACCCGTGAATTGCTCGCAAAGTAAAAGTGAACACGCGGAAGAACTTTTGATTTAATGAACGCATTTTCCCCTTCTAAGACTCCATCTAAATGATTTGAGGGCCTAATTTTAAATATGCTATTTAATGAGTAGAAGTTACTAAATCAGACATAAAACTCTCTGAATAAAAAATTCGAGGTATTTGGGCTCAGATAGTCCCAATAGTTCAGATTAGAGAACAATTGAAAAGTTTGGACTCTTTAACGTTAACGAATTTCCCAGCATCTCGAAAACTTCTTAAGTGAATCGAAAAGTTTCTGCTCACTATAATAAAGTTTGTTAATCCAAAGATAATTTTTAACCATGCAAAAATAATTTTTAATAATTATTTTGTTAAAACAATTTAATTTTTAATAATTATTTTTATTTATTAATAGAATAAAAAGTTCTAAATTGTAAGGTAAACAAATTTTAGCATCATTTCAAACTATGGAATTCTAAATGACAAAATTTGAACGAAATCGATCGAATATTTCTCAAGAAATTTTAAATATACGACTTTTTAAAATTGGATATCTCAACTAGTCAATCGATTTAGTTCAACTTTTGTTAGTTGAAGTTTTTAATTTTTTCATAGAATAATAACTTAACAATTTTTAATATGCTTTTAAGCGCTGAATCATAAATTTGTAAAGTTTAAGTTAATCACTTGATTTTATGAATTGATTATTAAAACATTGTATATTTCAGACTTTTTGTTTTAAAGTTTGAAATTTTGGTTAAATTCTGGTCAACATATTCTGGTAGAGAATTTTTACTTTTAATACATTGTAGACCGGTGTCGAATAAACTCCTCTTTTTATGTCCAAAAGTTGTTGTCTAATGACAAGTTAGTCCGTCATTGCAATTGCATATGTTTCAATTTATAAAACCCAGGGCGATATAGCAAAAGGTTTTTGTGTTAAGTTCTCTTCCATCTACAAATAAATTAAATTCTTATTTAATTTTTTTCCAAACTTATTATTGCACAAAATTTTATAGGTAAAAATATCTCAGGATCATCACATAAGCATATTTTTAAATCATAAAAAAAAATCAAGAATAAGATAAAATTATTTTTATCTACATTTTAATACATTAACTTGAATGTTACTTTAGTCATAATGGGATGACTCTATAATGATATTGCATTTTTAACAAGTGAATCAGAATTATTATTAATTTTTTTTACATATTTTTATTTCATAATTATTTTTCGTTCATGTGTAGAAATAGTGTATAGCTTATGCTGAAGTGATGTTAATGAACATGTGTGCTAAAAAAAATTAAATATTTTGTTTTAAAAGTGATCAAATGTATAACGTAAGTGTTCCTTGCTTCAATATTCGCCTGATCTCACATCTTGATTACTAATTTACTGAAGAAGAAAAATATATTTTTACGAACAACTCTTGGGAAATTTTATTAGGTTAAAACCTATATTTTCATATTGATGAAAAAATATTTTAAAATACGCTAGTTTCACAAGGACTTCACACGGTTTTCATGGCTGTTATCTCAATAATTGAAAAATTATGTGTAAAATTATAGTGCGTATAGACTTGAGTAAAGGGGTCTACGAATCCACTACAAGATTTTTACCCCCCCCCCCCCTTCGAGTTATAATTTAAATGCGTTTAAACTAAGCACTCAGATCAATACTGTTGAACATCACTAAGTCAATGTGAAGCTGCAAAACGGTGAGTTTTATTTTATTGCCGGCGTTGAACATTTTTGGGCTTATGACTATTAATGTTAAACTCCATAACCTTTTAATTTTTAACTTGTGGCGTAACTACCACTGCAAATATTAAATACCAAATCACTAGTATATAAGACATGTTAACTTGAAGCTATCTTGAGGTACCTTTTGATAGATGAAGGTTGACATAGTCTATAAATAAATCCCCTCAATCCAGGTAACAAGGAAATTCCCGAATCAAGCATTGGAACAAACTAGCTTTCATGGAAGACTTTTTGATGGAATTAAGTAACAATTGCGTTACATGGATAGGAATACCTCTCACGGTTAGCCCGATGGCAAAGGGGTTTAAACCCTCCATCCACTTACTACTGAGGATATTTTATATCAGCGTTGTGGTCAGTGCTTGTCGGAAGCAGAATTCATATTGACCAGACATCATTGGAACCACCTCATTGAGAGGTGAGCATTCTATCCCCTGAGGCACCGCTGCTCAAAACTGTGAGTTTTTTTATATTTTTTAACCGGTATTGAGCATCCGACCCAATTATGAGTTGGCGACTATCAATCTTCATCTCCGTAGCTCCATAATTTTGAACCCAACCCAGAAAACAAGGGAACTTCTGGATCAACTAATTTCTGGGTAAACTTGGACTTTTTGAGGGAACTAATCCTTGTATGTGTTACATGGAGAGGAAAAACTCTCACGGTTAGTCCGACGGCAAGGGGATTCTAACCCATGATCCTTCTACAACTGAAGATATTTTACGTCTGTATTGTGGTCGGTGCGAACCGGGAGCAAGATTCGAACATGGGTCACCTCATTGGGAGGAGAACGCTCTACCCTTGAGCCACCGCAGCTCAAAAAGGGCGAATGTATTAATGTAACAGTAGTCTCTACTGTTCACATGAAAAAGTTACAATTGGAAAGGTGGCCACTTACCATTAAAAAAGGTTAGTCAGCCACCACTGATTCAAATGTTTCAAATAATTAGACTTGAGATTATTCTACGCCAAAAGATACCACCAAATTTTGAAATAACTTGTTTAAACTACATTTTCAAGAAATTAAATCCTTAACACCGAATATTTCAAAAGTCACCGACGATTTGAAAAAACGAAAACGGAAGGATATAGAAATGTACGATTTGCTCTGTCCTACTTAGAAAGACTGAATTTATATCTCCAAATTTCAAAATTTGTAACAAAGTTCGGCAACACATAGTGCTTCTAGTTTAAAAACTGTAAAACAATGTTTTTAAAATAACTACAATTTACAGCAACAGCGTTATGCAATCTTAGTACAAAACTAATTTGCAAATACGAGCATTTCAGTTGAAATGATCTGATACGCGGCAGAAAACGATATTTTATAGTTTTTCCAGTCATCAGTTGATGAACTTAGTAACTAATTTGAAACTTTCTTGGAAAACCTAGTTTCTCAAGCAAAGCGTACAGTTCTATTTTCCTTCAATTTTCAGATGGTTAATCATTTCTGGAACATTTTTAGTTTTTAACCATAAAATTTTATACATCGTCTTGAAATTTAAAAATTTTTGATGTCTAAAATGAATTTTACTTATACACGCTTATAAATATTTTATAACAAATAAAGTCAAATTACTGTCATTGTTTTGTTAAATATTGATTTTTGATGAAAGTTACCTACTGAAAAATTAACACATAATTATGTAAAAAGGCGAATGAAAGTTTTCCAATTTAAAAACCCTAAACACATGTTGTATAAAAAGTTTGATGAAAGTTACCTACTTGAAAAACCCTATCGACATGGTCTCTTGTTGTATGATCTTCAATCATAGGCTCCACAGCTTTTCCCATCAGTTCATATATAGATTGCACGATTCGTGACATTTCATCTTTAGTAATATATCCATCTCCATTTATATCGTACAAACTAAACGCCCAGCGAAGCTTTTCTTGGAGTGATCCTCTTGCTAGCACAGAAAGGCCAATTACGAAATCCTGAAATGCATAAAAAGGATTCAAAATGCAGTTAAAGCTCGACTTACTGTGAGAAATCTACTATTACTACAAATTTTCTTCGAGTCCCCTATAAAATGCTAAAGATATAAAAATTGTACGTTGATAAAGAGTTAAAAATTACTAGCCTCTACCATTATTACGACAAAACTGTTTTTAGAGAAATGTATTTTTCTAAATGTCCTTTAATTGTTGTTTAAGTTAGTAATACTGTGAAACCTCCTGGAAAGACCACCTCTATTTTCGACCACTCTTTCGACCGAAAGGAATTTTTGCCATAGACTTTGTTTTGAAGAAAACCTTTAGAAGAGACCATATCTGTACCAAATGCAGAAAAGGTCAAATAAGGAAACACGAAGAAAATATCAAAACAAGTAGATTAAATTCTTTTTGACCATGCAACCTCATGTTGCAGTCAGAGTGCATTATAGATGGTGCTATCAATGATTTACTTTTAGAGTTAAAAAACAAGCATCTCAAACAAACAAGAATCTTCATTTCTGTTTGAAGAAATGGCATTTTAAAGCATGTGATGTTCTTCTCATTGACCAAGTGTTTGCTAATATTCAGGAGGACACGCTATTACCGGAGGTTGTCTTTGGTTGAGAGGTACATTCATTGAATCGTTGACATAAGATCCCATTTATGCTTGACATTTTTAGTCACATGATATTTTTATTAACCATAGCACAAAATAAAGAGACTTACTGTAAATGTGATTGCTCCAGTGTTGTCATGATCAAAAGAGTTGAAGACGTAATGGGCATATTGCGCTGTTTCAGCACCTTTTGGAAAATACTGAGCGTATATGCCTTTAAATGTTTCTTCTTTCACCATGCCGTTAGGACATTCCTAAAATATTTCAATCAAAAAGTTGCAATGACAAAAACTTTTTTCGTTTTTTGAAGAGGGAAGGAAATTTTGTTAATTGCTAGATTTTTATTCTCAAAAGCTTAACACTAGATTGCCCAAAGAAGTCATTTTGACTGCTTTTTCATTTGCAAAAAAAGTACAAATAATAATACATAAATTATTATTTTTTTCCAAGTGAAGTAAATTTTTTTTATTGTTAATATTTCCTAATAACTTGTTATATAACCGTATATAAAAACTATTAAAAATTAATTAAACAAATTTCTTTACACATTAGTTATTCTTTCAAAATGCAGTCATTTTGACTGCTTTTGGGCAATATAGGTATATTACTAAGTTTCAGTCTTTCTAGTGTTAAATTGGCATTCAAGTCAATGCGTTTGTACTTTTCAGCGGAAAGTCTTTCGCAAATAATTTGGTTAATGAGTTGATTATTTTTCTGTAGACTTTTTAACCTTTTACTTAATCTTTGATTGTGTATTTTGAAAAATAACATTCGATTTTATGAAATTGTCTTTTTTTATAATCATAATATATATATTTAGCTGATAATTTTTGGAAAATTTCAAAATAATTACTGTTAGTAATTTTTTAATAAATTTAAAATTAAAATTTACTTTTATTAAAGTATTTCAAGATTATTTAAGTGCTGAATCTTGGAAGAAAAAATGCATTGAAAATCATTGCAATTAAATTTAATTATTCACTACCCTACAATAATGGAAAAGACACTGAGTTTTTGACATTTTTTTAAATTTCTCAAGAAATACTTAAAAGATTATTTCATGACTTTTAAGATTTTTTGCTCATGCGATTTTTCATACTCAGTAATAAGATTTAGAGGTTTTGGAGGCCGACAATAAATTACGAAAAAAAACACATATTTTTAAACACCCTATGCTAGAAAATCACTATCGATTACTTTAGTAGTTAATTGAAAACAGCATGAAATTTCGTACTCCTAGAGTTAATATTCATGGAGATATGAGCATTTTTATAAAAAAAAAACTAATTTTTTGACTTACGTATTTTTTGCTATAACTTTATAAATATTCAATAGAATCAAACAAAATTTTTGGAGCAATTAAAATTAACTAAAAATTATTTATTTAAACTTTTTTTAAAAAAAAATCGTTAAAAACTGCGCAAAATAAAAGTATTTAAGGTAGTTCATTTATACTGCACATGCGCAGAAAATTCTAAAAAAAAATTTCTTAATTTTGTAGTTAATCGTATTTGGCAACTAATGAAAAAGTTTGATTTAAATATCTTAAAAATTTGAAAAGTTTCAAGCAATTTTCTAAGTAGTTTTTGTACTTTTTAAGAGAAGGCTAAAAACGATCAGGAGTTTTCCACAAATTTTATCTTTTGTTTCATAAAACAAAATTTAATAACAAATGATAATACCTTACAATAATCGTCCAGAAACCAAAATATGATGGTATAAGGTAAGAAAACGTGCGAAAGAAAACATACTCTTATGGAGAATGATCCTGCACAACGCTGGTCTCATTTTCAATAAATCTTGTTTAATTGTACAAAATGAAACTTCAGGAAAACCCCTGATCGTTTCGAGCTTTCTTTCAAAAAATACTAAAACTATTTAGAAAAATGCTTGAAACTTTTTAAATCAAACTTTTTTCATTAATTGCCAAATACGATTCACTACAAAATTAGGAAGAAAGGTTTTCAATTTTTTCCGCGCATGCAGTTGTTTTTAAATTTTAAATAAATATTTTAATTAATTTTAAATTGCTCCAAAAATATTGTTTGATTTCATTAAATATTTATAAAGATATGGCAAAGAAAAAAATAGTTTTTTATAAAAATGTACATATCTCCATAAATATTTACTCTGGGTTTACGAAATATTAAAAATAACAACTAAAGTAATCAATACAAATTACAAGCGTATTGCTTGATTTTCTGTCATAGGGTGTTCAGAAATACTTGTTTTTTTTCGTAATTTATTGCTGGTCACCCAAACCTTTGAAAACTTCAAATGTTATTGCTAAGTATAAAAAATCGCATGAAATAAACATCTCTAAGGTTATAAAATAATCCTGTAAGTATTTCTTGAGAAATTAATTTAATAAAATGTCAGAAGTGTCATTATTGTTGAGTAGTGAATAATATATAACGTCTTAAATTTTACTTAAAATGTATCGTAATATTTTTATAAAATGTTCATTAATGAATCATAAATAATTGGCAATTAAGCGGAAAATAATGATATATATTATTCAACGTCTTTGAATAATGTATGACGAATGCTAAGAATCAATTAAAAAATATTCATTTTTATTAAAAAAAATATTAATTTTTATTTATTTAATCATATGTTGCTTAGTATGTATATATGATGATAAGTATATATGATGATATGTATAAGAAAGAGAATTAAAAATATTGAGAGAACTGGATATCAAGAGACTATATCAATCTCTGGAACACAGAACATCCATCCTATTTATGGAATTTTATGCTGAGTAGGTAAAGGTTTACAATCATATCTTATTTGAATCGAGTGCTGTATACGGAAAGGCCGCAATTTCATACGTTCGTGTGTGTGCACAGATATTCTGCAAAGTCTGTGCTTCCAACTACTATGTGTGCCCCAAGAAGGAGCATTTAAAAAAAATTTCAGATCGACTACTGTCCATGTCCTAGTATACTAATAATCATTAAATAACTTCTGAAGAACTTCTTTCATTAAAAATCTTTGATACCGGAAGCACTACCTACCAGTAGATTTTTTTTTTTCATTTTTTTATTTTTCATTTAGTTTCTTTCTTTCTTTTATTTTTTCAATGAAATTTGAAAATTTCTAGATTTTTAGCCAAAATTAGACACAAGTTTTAAGGATCCGAGGACAAAAATTTATTGCGAGACCTTTCCTAAAAGCAAAGAAATCTTATTTTCATATTATGCAGAAGTTTTAAAAATGCTAGTTTTTATATCGATTCAAAGCATTTCTTTGCAATTTTATTTTAAATAAAATAATTAAAAGAACAGTTTTCTTTAAGTAAATTATGCTAGGCATGAGGTGGAGGCCCTGGGAAAAGTACTAATTTAGGTAACCTCAACATTCCTTTACTTCTGTATAATTTTCAAATGAATAAGAAGAGCCGGTGGCACAGGGGATAGAGCTTTCGTCTTCCAATGAGGTGAACCGGGTTCGAATCCCAGCGATGACTGATCGATACGAATTTCCCACCTGGCTCGCACCAACCACAGTGCTGACACTCAGTGCATGGATTAGAGTCCTATTGCAGTCAGGCTAACAGTGGGAGATTTTCGCAGTTTATGCAAATGCAGGTTAGTTCTATCAAAAAGTCTTCCACGAAGACAAATTTCTCCCAAAGCTTGATCCAGGAGATTCCTTGTTTTCTGGATTTGGTTTAAAATTACAAGGCTACGGAGTTGAACATTAGTAGTCGTAAACCCAAAACTGCGTCAGCTGTTCAACAGCGGTTACAAAAAAAATAAGATTAAAAAAATAAACATTTAAAGGAACAAAAAAAACCTATATAAATAATTACATTTCTTTGCTTTTCATGTTTTATTTATTATTATTTTAAAATATATTAAAAAAATATTAAATGATAAAGGTCTCAAAGTATTTATTTATTGTAAGACAATTCAGTTAATGATTGATTTTATATTAATTTCATCAGCAAAATTTGTATTTTTTCTATTTCAATAAACGTTGTCTACATCAATCTCAAATAAGCTTCAAGTCCACTCAATTTATAAAAAAATTTAATTAGTATTTTAAAAGAAATGCATTACTTATGATTTAAATTCAGTAAATTATGATTAAATAAACTGCAATTAATTGGTAAGGTATACATTTCCGTAAAATACTAAAAAAATTTAAAGAATGTAAACAAATTACATTTTAAAAACTTTGAAAATTAGAATGAGGGTGCAAGTGATACTCCTGTCTATTCTATAATCAGGATACCTTACTGCAAGACCATATTTTTGACAGTTTACCAAGACGCGACCACATGACATTTATAATCTGAATAAGATAAAATATTTTTTTTTCTTCCGGTAAATCTGGGTTATTATTAATATTTTTAACTCCCAAATTCAGTTCAATAGATGACAAAACTCACTTATTTTAAAAGTTTTGACACTTTATATGATAAAAATGTAATTATAAGAGAAATGAAATAAATTGTAATATTTTACCCAACAATTCGAATTCTGCCACACCCATACTTCACATCTGCCTATAGGGCGGACCCATTCATACATCTATTCATTCATCCATCCACAAATCGTAATTTTTGACCTGAACCAGGGAACGGTCAATTTCCAATCCAGTACCGCCAGAGGTATAATTTGTCATGTGAACAAGGAGGACTTTGTGACCTGACAGATTTAACGTGTACCAGTCACCATTTACTACATGGAGAGTCTCACGAACGTGAGTCCAGCTCCCTGCCAACCAGGCTATCCCAGCCTAGGGTTCCAGTGCCGAAAGAAATCGGACACCGCCGATGTAAGGGATAGGAAGACCATATTACTTGATAGAATTTGAACAATCTCTGAACTGTTTTCTTATCATTTTGCCATTGATTTATTCTGCTAAATGTTTTATTAATATATGCATTATTAATTTTTAAACAATTTTCACGTCATTTGAAAAAGACAAATTTGCAATCCTACTTATAATGATATTAAAAAAAAAGACCTGTTTAAATCCTCTGTACATGAGCTGCAGTTCTCTTTTGTTAAATTTTGTTAACTGACATAGAGTATCAATTGCTTCAGGCTTGTAATGGGAATGATCTGCATCCATATCTTCCAAGTGACTATCTAAAAAAAAGTAATAAATAAATTGAGAACAAATATAGTATTTAAAAACAACTAACTCATTAAAGTAACCGACAACTTTTTTTAAAAAATATTCATATAAAGTTTTAAAAAACTAGTTTGTTTTATTATGTGTGCAAATTATTATCATTATACACGGCCATTTTTAGGTAAAATTAAGGCCTTTTTTTCTGCATTTACGCTAAACATTAAAAATAATTTATCGTATAAAACAAAAAATCCTTTGATGTTTTTATTGAGAAGGCTATCCAACTATTGAATTATTATCTTAACTGCTGAATTAAGGATCTATGAAGTTAAAAAAGCAAATTTTTAAAAATTCCATCACTTGTCTTTGCGAAAAAACATGCATAAGAAATGAAATTCTATTTTTCTCTCTTAGTCTGTAGCTCAAAACGTGTGGTATACTTATAAGCACTCATGAAAATTATATATATAAACAATTATTTTAAAAACAATATAAAATATCGTGTTTAAAGTGGTATAAAGTGTGAAAAAAGAATCTGATTTTGAGATAAACGCATTTAAAGACTTAGAATCATTAGTGTTTCCACTGTTATCACCTTGCCCAAAATTGCTATATCTTTGTTAAGAATTAAAGTACAAACAAAAGTAAATAATTTTGAGAAAGCTAAGATAGCAGGGATTCTAAATTCATAATAAACTCAACTTCGAAAATGTTACCCAAAATAATGTTTTTGCACTGGTCAGATACCTTAAAAAAGTATAGTTAACATCAACAAAGGTCTTTTTGCTTTAAATTTAATAGTTATTGTTGTTGCTAGACTAATGATATATAGATTTAATATCCGCTTCAGAACTGCGCTACCCAGGAATGCCTTTAATAACCTAGAAGATACATAGCCTAGCAGATAGCCTAGAAGATACATCTATTTATCGCAGTGCTACTATTGGTACAATTTTTTTTTTAAAAAAAGAAGGGAAAATTCATTAACAAATCCCATTTAGGTTTCCAGTAATAAATATTAACCTTTTAATGATGCTGAAAGATAATAGTTCCAATCTAATATTCTATTGTTATCATACACATTCCAAAATTAGCACACAAGTTTCCTAAAATAAGTCTCCTAAAATTTTATTTTAATGTGAAATTTAAACCATCTTATACAATTCCAAAATCTTGCTACATTTGACGTCTTGTAAGAATCTAAAAGATCTGCAGTTTATAAAACATGTAATGCTACATATCATGAAAGTACTGTATTTTTTCTCGTAGTCTGTAGCGTAATGTGCTATTTTTAAAAAAAAAAAAAATAGTGTAGGAAATAAAGAGATACAATAAAGCGTTTCCTGGGACTGGACTTTTAACGTTGGTTTAACTACAAGGTTTTATCTAACAATTATGAATTATATCTAATTTATCAATTCACTCACAACATATCTATGCCTACAAACGTAAATGTATTTTTGATCCAGTGGTCGGGCTTACTATGACTTAAACTTAATGATTCGATGGAGTGACTTTAAATATGCTAATAGGTTAGCTCAGTTTAGTTAGTGTGTATTTTAAGTTACGATATCAGACACAATAAATAAATGTCTCTAAAAAAATTCTCTGAATTGAAAAAAACTCTTTTTTTTCTCGATGGATTTAGATTTCTGATCCCAAAAATATGGGGAATATCGGCTAAATGGTCAGGAGAGCGGTCCACAGTTTAGATCCTTTAATGTTAATTTTACTTATTGCTTATTTCACTGTATCTCGAAAATTGCCTCTCTATGTAACGCAAATGCGGGTTAGTTCCATCAAATTTCTCCCAATGCTTTATCCAGTCTTCTGGATCGGGTTCAAAATTACAAGGCTATGATGAAGTTGAACATTAAAGTCGTTAACCCAAAATTGGGTCAACTGTTCAACGTCGGTTATTAATGTAAATATCTCAAAAACTTTTTAAGCGATTTGAAAATTTTTTGCAGGCAAGTATAAGATAAGTTTATCCAAAGATGCAAATCATAAATATTGCAAAATATAATTAATTGCAAAATATAACTTTGAGTAAATATTTATTATTTTCCTTAATAATAGTCGAAAAACTTTGTAATTGTAGGGTACACAATTTCTTACAACATTTTAAAGAAAGCAATTTTTAATGGCAGAATACAAATTTTGAGCGAAATTGGTCAGATAGTTCCTGAGAAATCGAATTTTGAAAAAGTAGTAATTTTAAAATTCGATTTCTCAAGAACTGTATGACCAATTTCACTCAAATTTTGAATTTTGTATTTATTAAAATTATTGAAAGTAGTTTAATTGTACGAACTAAGGTAGACAACGTTAAAGAGCACAAAAATATTATTAAAAGCAGACAGCTGTTTCGGATGCTCAAAGGGCAACCTTCATCAGTGCAACAGGTTGCACTGATGAAGGTTGCCCTTTGAGCATCCGAAACAGCTGTCTGCTTTTAATAATATTTTTGTGCTCTTTAACGTTGTCTACCTTAGTTCGTATTTTAGCACAAAGGTCGCCCACTTGTGTATTTAGTTTAATTGTAATTTTTACATTGAAGAAATTGCAGTTGTTTAACTGAATTTGTAGTAAAGTAGTTAACTGTCAACCAAAAGATGTAGTTTTTTCCCACAATGACATTTAGAACGTGCAAAATACATCCGAAGACGTCTTGCGGTTTATAAAAGACTTTATATGGAAGTCACGGAGTCCTTTACATGACAATTTTGGGATGTCCTACAGAAAGGCTGTGCTCTGTGAGAACTTGCAAGGCAAATTAGTGTAAATTTTTTTGAAAAATCCTGGTCTGTAATAAAATACAGAAGTTTCTATTTTAGAATTAACCCTGCCTTTACCTCCTTTTTTTTTTTTTTGCTTAACCCTTAGATTTCGTGTATCTACTCTTAGTATTTTACAAATTGTGTTTAAGTGTAATGACTTTTCATTTGTGACCCTATATATGTAGGGGGAGTCGAACAAGGCCAGGTGATGGGGTAAAACCGGGTACCTGTATTTTGGGGAAATGACTTCTGCTAGCAAATACACTCTGAATTACACTTTACTCGTCAAGAAGAAAGACCTACCGCATAGGCGTGTTGTTGTTGATTTATTCACGGTGTCTGAGTAGATAAGTTTGTTTTACTGTATCAACTCTCTATTGTTCTTTTTTATTTAAACTATCCTTATTTATTAGTCATTAGAATGATAATAATATTTAGTCCTATTATACGTTTACTAAAGATTCACACCCTAAAAAACAATAATGTAGCCCGTTTAGATTTAGTCCGATAAGTCGAGCTTTTCTGTTCCGTTTCGTTAACCACTGCTCTCGGAGTAAGACCCTTGATGTGTTTCTATGCTGGACCCATGAAAGCTGTAGTGCAGCAGAGGAAAAAAATAATAACATCAAACGCTGCACAAAGATTTTAGGAGCCCCATCCTCAAAGTATAAAAAGACTTATTTTCATAGTTAATAGAATTTTTGAAAACCCTTTATACAAAATTGTAGTTTTTTTATGGATATAAACACATTCTCTGCCATTTTCTGGTGAAAAAACATCGAATTTTGGTCAGGCCCTCAGTCGTCCTGGACCCCAGGACAGCGTCCTTCTCTTTCCCCTCTCTCTTGCAGTATAGCCTTGACTACATAGCATGCAAATTACATGTATAATTTTTTTAAATTGTCAGATAAAATAGAAAAGACGGCTACTTTTTCGCTGAAATTCTAATATTTCTAAATTTCTAATAGAGTTAACATGTGTATTCGGGGTATTAGGGTAAAACCAATTGGTTTGACTTTTTCTAGAAAAAAAAATCATTTATAAAAAAAGTAGTACATCAATGATTTTTCGAGATTAATATATTGTTTATAACTAAACAATATATATCTTTGTTGAATCAGACTATTTCTAGGTCAAACAGAATAGCACCAACAGGCCTTCAAATCCCCGGTAATTCTCCACCTTCCCATATATTTTTTATTTCATTTTTGACCAAGATTGGTAGTTTTTTTTTTTTGGGGGGGGGGGGTTGTTTCCTCTTTTAGTAAATTCCTTTTTTTTTTTCAAACACTCTTTCAATCATAAATTAATCCTTATTGATTTTGATCTCATAATTGGTTGACAGGTTGTTTCATTGACTATGGCCTTTGATTGACTTGGTCATTCCAGCGACTAAGTCCTTTTGTCGATAAGCTATTTCGTCATCAAAGTTGTCTTTTGTCATCAAGTCAGAAGTCATGACGTTAGATGTCTTTCGTCAAGTCGTCATCAAAACCGTCTTTGGGCCAGAAAGGGAGAATCCTTTCTGGCCCACAGTCACAGGTGTTATTCGCTCAAAGTTTTCCCCCTTCCCTTTACGATCACAGGTTTGAAGTTGACACTAATCCATCGCACTTGACGTTATCTTTCTTTCCATAGGGGTTGATAGTCATGATGCGCTTATCTCTGATTGGCGCCATTTCGATTCGTTAATATTTATTATTTGCAAAATGTTATGACTTTACAAAACAAGAAGAATAAAATTCGGAATTTTTAAAGACTGCTTTCTTTTCCGCGAGATTATTTTTAAAAATGCATTTATTGTAATTCGTTTTAAAATTTATTTATTGCTTTCGTTAATATTTATTATTTACAAGATGTTTGATTTTACAAAACAAGAAGAATAAAATTCAGAGTTTTTAAAGACTGCTTTCTTTTCCGCTAGATTATTTTTAAAAATGTATTTATTGTAATTAAGATATCAGTATTGTAGAGTTATTTCGTAATATTTTTAATCCCCTTTGCTCACAGCATTTTATAAAACATAAAGTAAGTTAAATATGAAATTTCTTAAGACATTTTTTTAGTGTGTGTTTATTATTAAAATTTATGTATTGATTATTTACAGCAATATTAGTAAATTAGTGTGATTTAATGCAGCCACATGCTAGGAACTAAACAGGACATGGAACATCATTCTTTTTGTCACTAATTTTTTATTATTAATTTATTAGTAATTTAATTCTAAATAGGTTATTCCATAATTGTGAGATCAAAAATTTTTTTTTTTTAGAATTCTTGACAAGGTAGAAAAACTACACATAGGTAGTCTTAAAGTAACATTTTAAAAAAGAAAATTATTAAAGATTGACGCTATCTATTAATTACAGTAAATGTAGCATAAAAATATTTAAAAGCAATTCCTTTTTAACACAGTTTAAAAGTGTTCGCTTTTCGTTCCACACCATTCTTCACTTGCAATAATAAAATTGTGTATTAATTATTTAATTCTGCTGTGATGAATCAGGATAATCTTTTATGAATCTTAATCATCTTCTCAAATATATATCTTTTAATAAAAATTTTAAAACTAGCGAAGAGTGGTGCTTATGAAAAAAAATTATTTTGAATGTTTCTAAAATATAGATGGAACAGTTGTGTTAATCAAGGCGCGAACATTTCATAACAAATAAAACAGCTATGAAATAAAACTAAGGAAATTTAAATATACACTACCGTGCAATAATAGATAAGACACTATCAATTTTTCACCTTTTTCTCTTTTTTTTTTTTTTTTTTTTTTTTTTTTTTTTTTTTTTTTTTTTTTTTTTTTTTTTTNTTTTTTTGGAATTTCTCACAAAATACCTAGAAGATTATTTTATGAATTTCAAAAGTGTAATAAATTTTAAAAACTTCAGAGGTGGTCTAAGGGGCCGGCAATAAATTATGAGCGAAGACAAGTATTATAACATCTTATTTCAGAAAATGTAACAATAAATTTATTAACTCAAAGGACACTTTATTATTTGTAAGAAGTGCATAAAATTTCATAAGATTAGCTTACATATTATGAAAATATGGACATTTTTATAAAATAAATAAGTAAAAACTTTTATTTGTCATACGATTTTTTCCTAAAACAGGAAAAATACTTAATGAAATAAAAGTTTTAGGAGCAATTTTTTATTAAGCATGTTAAAATTAGGCAAAAAAAAACCCTTTAAAATACGTTTTTAAAGTAGTTCTTTCCCACCTGCGCTGAAAAAAATATTTTTTCCTAATTTTGCAGAATAATTGTTTGAAGATATTCAAATCGTTTTTTTCCCACGAGTTGCTAACTACAATTCCCGACAAAATTTTGAAAAAAATACTTAATACGCTCATATCTTGAGCAATTTTAAACGATTTACTTTCTGTTCAATTTTAAAATCATTATCTTGTAATTAATTAAAAATTGCTTCAAAACTTTTGTTCAATTTCAATCAATATTTTTAAGCTATAGCAAAAAGCAGCTACAAAATAATCCTCAAATTAGGGCAGTGTATGTTCTACATTTACATAGCTGTAAGAGGACCAATTGTACTCGATCTTGAAATAGTGAAAAATTCTTTTGATTGAGTTATTACCTATGATATGATAAGAAAACTTAAGATTATATTCAATTCAATGCTACTAACCTCGATTTCCGACCAATTCTTCGTGTAGGGGAATTTATTTATTATGCTGGATATAACCCAGATACTATTCAATAAATATATACTATATACACTAAACAGCTTAGAGGAGAGAAAAAAAATCCTAAAATTCGATACATTTTTATTTTTTTCGATATTTGTCTTAAATTTCATTTATACACATAAACATTTTAATTTAAGAATTAAGAGACTACTTTTTTTTGAATAATTTGAATCCTACTTTTGTTTAATTTTAATTTAAGAATTTATAAAATTAAATTAAATAAATTAAAATATTTCTATCTATAGCAATTTATAATAAAAAATGTTTACATGAATGTAACGGTAATTTTAAAATAAAGTTATGATATATTTTACAAAAACAGGAATGAAAACTTAAGTTTTTTGAATGATACTGAATCTAATTTTATTGAAAAATCATTACTTTGCTAACAAAATTAGTTTATCTTACACAACTCAATAAAATATTAATACAGTAACATATTCGCAAGTTTCTCTAAAGTATTATAGTATTAAGTTTTAACAAATTATGCCGAATAGATTTTTCCTTATTATTTTACGTCTTCTATATATATTCTATAATATTCATTAAGTGTTCTAAAATGAATGTTTCAAAGAGAACTATTTTATTTCGCCTCAACTTGAGACTGATTTTAGATCTCGGAGTTCTATAGTTATTAAGGTTTATGCTATTAAACTATTTTTAAAAGAAATTAAATAGAGACGTACGAAGAAAGATTTGGAAAGAGAGCTCTTCTTATTATTGCCATACCATAAACCTTCGACACATATTAATCAGGCCTTACAATTTTTATTTCGTCGCACCTTCAAACTGATTCTAGATCTCTGAGTTCTACAGTTATTAAGGTTTATGCCATTAAACTATTTTTAAAAGAAACTAAATAGAGACGCACAAAATTCTTATGCGGCTTTCACACTTATGTACTTAATTTATCAAGGGCTTAATACTGGATTTGAATATGTATTTTACCAGGTTAATGCACAAAACGCATCAAGTGCATTACACAGCATATGCGCGCGTAACGTACCAGGTAAAATATAGGTCTAAGTATGATTTTATCGGGTACAAAGAAAATTTAAATACTACAACTATTAAGGACTCATCTCCCCTTAAACTCTGCTTTCTTTCCCTTATTTCCTTTGACATTCGTTCATGTGCAAAATTATTTTGTGATTTATAAGTTCTGATAGAAAAATACTCTTCCTCTCTTTTCTTTTCTAAATTCCAATAAATATTAAAAAAAGACAAAACTTGAAATCCATTTCCAATCAAATTCAATTCCAGAAGAATTTTAAAAAAAGGTAATTAAGCAGATGTTTCGGAATAAAATGAAAAAAAAATTTTTTTACTTCAAAAAGCTTCTCCAAAAGTAGTTTAAAATTCATTACTATTTATTATTCTCATTAAAATTTTTTTAAGTAATCAGTAAAATAGATGTTATAAAAATCAAAGGTGAAATTTAATCTCGTAACAATACTATAAAATGCAAGTAAATATATTTTTTTAAAAATTTTTAATCGGATCTTTTAATAAAATTATTATTTTTCAAATATTTATTTTTATTGCATTTAAAATAGAGAATATTTGTATGTAAATACGATATTAAAAGCTATATTGATAAAATTTTTATTTCATTGCAAAAAAAAAAAAAAAAAATAATAGTACGTAAAAAAGAAAATAACAGCAGCGAAAGAATATAGTTTCTTTTTCCTCTTTTTTTTAATCAATAGTTTTACAGATCTGTTCATCAAGTAGTTTTAAAAATTGTTTATTAAATTTATTTTTTCTAAACAATTTCAAGTCAGTTTCCAAAATAAAATATTTTTTTAAATATATTAGGAAAAATACGTACCAAGTACTTTGAACTAATTTAAAAATAAATAAATAGCTTAAAAATTATATTTTAAATTTTCGCACGAAAATACAGTCTCCTTTTTTATTAAGATTTACTAATACACCATTTCTCCAAAAAGAAAATTTTTAAAAAAATATTTCATGATATCAGTATATATTTATTTTTCCTTCAAAATTCACGTGAAAATGATTTAAAAAGAAAATTCATAAATAGTCTTCTTAGGAAAACCTTTTTTTTAATGTTCAGTAAACAAAGTTTTTTTTCCATTATTAATGCAAAAATTTCTCCTCGTTACATACTTAACCGGAAATGAATTTTCATAATTACCAAATTTATTTCTCAGACATCTGTCTAATCTTGACGTTGCCTAAAAAACGTAACTACATGATTATATACACTCTTTTGAAAATATTTATGCGTCGTGAACGAGAAGACTAATTTAAGTCACATTCATTAAATCGAGAATCAAATCATTAAGCATTACGTTAATTACCATTGACCGCAAGAAACTGAACAGTATAACACTATTCTATTTATATATAATATAAATTTAAAATTTTCTATAGGTGTGTTTTTATACTTATATATATATATATATATATATATANATGACAGTTTTCGTGAGAATGACCCATATATATATGGCAATTTTTGGTATTTATTTTAATTTTTCGTTACTATTTTATTTGTAGTTAATGAATGTTTCAAAAATTCAGATTGATAAAAGTTTAACTCTCGCAAATAAATATGTGTGTATATGCTACCACCACTGAAAAAAAAAACATTCTTAACTTCTTTCACATTTTTCTATTTCAATTCAATTTTAGTGACTTTTTTGTATTAATACTTTCAGAACACAAAAAAATACTGAATTACGGCGATACAGTCCTTTAAAACGAAGTCCATAA